GATGGTTTTTCATGGGTTGGCCAGTGTTAGCTCAAGTGCTCTTGTCGGGGACCTAGAGGTGGGGTATAGAGATTGGCAGCCTCAGACAACCCCTGGGAATGAGGACAGAATGGGTCTCCAAAGGAAATCTGATAACTGTTACCAAAGGGAGAAGAGAAAGGAGTCTTGGGAACAGAAGAACAATAATTGTCTATAATAGGTGGCATCCCTCCAGCCGTATGATGGATTAAAGGATCGGCATGTGACCCAGCCAAGCCCAGGGATTTTTTTTTTCCCTGACCTGGAACTGACAGGAAAGAGATGTCTTTCCTATTGTGCATAAGGTGGCCAGCCTAGAGCTGCTAATGGGCATTGTCTCTGGGTTCTGTCACTAAAGCCAGTTAAACCCAGGGAAGTACCCGTGGGGAGTCAACCTTTCCACAGAAAGCAATTTGGTACCTTCCAGCTCAGGGGCTGGGGGGAACCGACTTCCCAGGGGCCCATTCCCCTAAGCAGGCCCCAGACATTGTAATATTATTTAAAAATATGAAAGTTTTTATTTTATTCTACCTCTTTAAAAATGAAAATAGTTTTTTTTTTCCCTGAGTACTACGTAACCTGCTCTTCATTACCAAGTTAATGTGTCAAGATTTTTCATATTAACAGAAGGTTGACCAGAAAAGCCTTGAAATCTTTTTTCTTGTCCATTTCCTGAATCATTCCAAAAAAATGAAGTATTACATGATCTCTTCAAAGGGCCTGGCCTTTACTCTGTTGGGGGAATTAAGGAGATTGTCCCATGTTCTGGATGGAGAAGCCAAGGGAGATGGTATCCCTCCTCTCAAGGTCAGATCAGGTGTAACAGGACCATTGCTAAGTCAAAAGGGATCCATCTGTTAAGGCTTCTGATACTTATTGACAGACCGACCTCCAAAAAATCTGTGGTACTTACAGTCTTCCCACCAGTGTGTCAGAAACCTCACCCCCACTGGGTGTTACCATTTTTTTCACCTTTGTTCATTTAATAGGTGAGGAAAGATACCCCATGTGTTCTGTGGTGATGGTGCCATGTGTGTGGTTTTCTTTTTCCTCTTATTTTCCTTTTCTTCTTTTTTATCTTCCCTTGGTTGCCAATGAGGTTGAACACCCTCTCATGAGGTCACTGGCCATTTGCAAATCTCAATCAATTACTACATCATATCCATTGCATATTTTCCACTGGGATATTCTTTTACCCCTAATTGGTTCGTGAGCATTATTCATGCACTGGGAAGAATATTTCTTTGCTTCTCACGTGTGGAAATGTTGCTTCTCAGTTTCTGCTTTAACTTTTAAATCCATGTGGATAATAGCATATAGAAATTTCCAACTTTTATATAGTCAAACCCATCATTCTAAAATTTTACTTTAAGTAGGCTCCATGCCCAGTGTAGAGCCCAACGTGTGGCTTGAACTCACAACCCTGAGATCAAGACCTGAGCTGAGATCAAGAGTCAGACGCTTAACCAACTGAGCGAACCAGGTGCCCCATAACCCATCGTATTTTTTTATGGTTTTTTGCTTTTGTATCATTTTTAGAAAGACCCGCCCCTTCACTTCCCAAGATTAAATAAACATCGCCTATTTTTTCCCCCAGTACTTTTATGGAATTTTGTATGTGTACATTTTTATAACTGGAATTTACAAAGGTGTGAGGTAGAGTCAGCTTTATTTTTTTTAACAGGAAAAAATTTAAAGCAGGTGTTACCAATCACCACAATCATTAAAGCATCTGTGGCTTGCTGTTGGGAGCCATGAGTAACCAGCTTATCCAGAAAACGATATCAAGTTATTCAAACACAACTTAATGAGAAGGAAGGGCAGAATCCAACGGCTTTATCCTACCCAATCTTATCTCCGATCACTGACTCCCTTTCTAACCGAAATAGCCTGGATCAGGAATCTGTAGGGTTAAGGCATCAACCTTAGATCTGTGTCAAGAACGGGGCTTCTCCCGGAGCACATGGGGCTCAGACCCTCAGTGATTCTGTCCCTGGAGCCCAAGGTAATGGAGAGGGCAACAAACAGTCCTATGCACCTAATATCTCTTCACAGAATATTGAGGAGGACAGGGGAGCTCTGGGTGGACAAGTGAGAGAGCTCACAGAGGTCCAAACTTGGGTGGATTTGCTCTGCCATTCTAATGTTCCAGAAAGGCTACATTTTTAAATTTTTTTTTAAGATTTTATTTATTTATTTGAGAAAGAGAGAATGTAGAGAGAGAGAGAGAGAGCATGAGAAGGCTGTGAGTCAGAGGGAGAAGCAGACTCCCTGCTAAGCAGGGAGCCTGATGCGGGACTCAATCCCAGGACTCCAGGATCATGATCTGAGCCGAAGGCAGTTGCTTAACCAACTAAGCCACCCAGATACCCTTTTCTATTTTTCTAAGTCAGATTAAATGTGGCTCAGTCCTCAGCTGCCTTATTGAAAGGATGGTCAATTTCATCATTTTGGGGCACCACTTCTCTGCTGAGGATTCCCCAAGAGTCCTGGGAGGGCAGTGGGAGTTGGGTTTGTGGCAACTCAGAGGGTTTAACTGGGAGAACTTAGACGATGCACGCTGTGATGTCACACACAGGCAGGTTATGTCTTTCCACCGCTTTGTTCGACCATAAAGCCAAGGTCCACATGACTGTAAAGCAGGTTCAGGATTCCAGACTCAGTGACATTTCACCTTGTGTTTAACGTGGCTTTTCACACGTCCCACACCACAAAGCACAATGCGAAGTTGCACAACCACCAAGATACAACAGGGGGTGGAAAGTGAAGAAACAGAACACAAAGTCAGTCTGTGAGTGTGCACTTGACACGGGGCCCCTGTCCCGTCTGGGTTGGCTCTTGGCATGTGCTGTTTGTTACGTTCAAGCCGTGGAGGATCTCTGTTCTGTTCAGAGGTCGATCAGGCAGAGCCTGATGTGGTCAGATGTGAAGGGTCAGCATCTTGAAAGTCTGACAGTTTGCTGCAAAAATCATCCCACTTTAAAGGAGTTTAATCAGTCTCAGGCCTTGGCAGACCTTCTCTGGTCCTGCTGGTTATCAGTTCTGGGTGCCATCAGCCTGCGCTGGTTTCTGCGGAATCTGGTCTTGGCCACACTGCCCTTGGCTGCTCGTATCACCTCCAGACACCAGCCGCCACTGACACGAGTCACTCCATTTTGCTTTCTACAGCTACGCACAAGGTAAAGGAACTAAGGGGGTGATTGAGAGCTGGGAGCATGAAAGGTGGGCCTTTCAATAGTACTTTTAACCGCTGAAAGCTGCCACTGCCAGAACCCTGGCCAAGCAGGACAGAGCATAATCAGAATGGACTGGGGGGTGAGGAGGTACATGGAGAATAACCAGGATAGATAATATGGGAGTTCGGAAAGGAGCCTGTGGTCACACTGGTGTTTCTCTCCCTTCCTTCCTTCCTTCCTTCCTTCCTTTCTTTCTTTCTTTCTTTCTTTCTTTCTTTCTTTCTTTCTTTCTTTCTTTCCCTTCCTCCTCCTCCCCTTCTTCTTCTTCTTCTTCTTCTTCTTCTTCTTCTTCTTCTTCTTCTTCTTCTTCTTCTTCTTCTTCTTTTTCTTCTCCTCCTCCTTCTCCTCCTCCTCCTCCTCCTCCTCCTCCTCCTCCTTCTTCTTCTTCTTCTTCTTTTAGAGAGGGAGAGTGGGAGGAGGGGGAGAGGAAGAGAGAGAAACTTAAGCAGGTTCCATCCCCAGCATGAAGCCTGCTGTGGGGGGCTCGACCTCACACCCCTGAGATCATGACCTGAGCCTAAATAAAGAGTCGGATGCTTAACTGACTGAGCCAGCACACACTGGTGTTTCTTAAGTCTAGCCTGGGGAACTGAGCCCTCCCTGGCAGGAGCTTGCACCTATCTCATGATCGCTCAAGCCTGTGGGCACCATGGGCGGGCCGGGGACTTGGCTGTGTGTGAGCTGGAAAAGCTGCACTGCCTTGGGGTGCTGGTGCTTTCCCTGGATATCCTGGTAACATGGGGGACAGCCCCCCCTCTCCCACTCAACTAAGGGACCCAGAGGCGGGGCCGGTCTCCCCATGACGGTAGAGGTGGTGGACCAGGCATGAGCACCATAGGAAATGTGGTTCTGAGGCTTTCCTGGAGTTTCACTGGGGCCTGACCTACAGCTGCATGGCGGACCCAGGGAGCCAGGGGACCGGAGGCAGCAACACCAGCTGGCAAGGCCCTGGGGTAGCGATGTGGGTGGGGTGCACGATTGCAGTGGTGGAAGTCTGTGTCCCCGAGGGACTGTCTGAATTTCTGTTTCCCTAGCAGGCAGCTGGAGGGAACACACTGGGGACAAATTTGGGGACATATCCAAGCACCACAGGAAGACTTCATATATTAGGGGAGGCTACACCCCCAAATTGACCAGAAATTCCTGCTGACAAGGTAGGAAAGTCCCAGGATTGGGGTAACTTAGACATAAATGTAACTGTGATCTTACTTGTCTGCCAAGCAGGTGAAGTTTATGAATTTCTCATTCCACTGGTTTTGATATTGTGGAAAATAATTAAATGTGTTTCAGGCCAAGAACTAGGAATGGGTTCATGAAATCCACAAACTTACCTCCATTGAAATGAAACAAAACCTGGGGAAGTGGTAGCCCTTTGAAAATTCACCTTAGTCTCTGAGAACTGTTAACTAACCACAAGAGACTTCCTTCTGATATTGTCCCATGGAAAAGAGAGCTTCTGTCCACATTTTTATTTTCAGTCAACACCTAGAAGAATTTATATTTCTGGGAAGGATAAATTCACTTGGAAGGTGGCAATATTTATTCAATAAAGAACCAACTCCTCTGTCTGCTGAAATTGGTTTAATAACTTCTTTCAAATCCCATATTAAAGGTGAGCAAGAGGGGTGCCTCGATGGCTCAGTTGGTTAAGCTTTGGGCTCCTGGTTTGGGCTGGGGTCATCATCTTAGGGTCGTAGGATAGAGCCCTGAGTCCAGCTCTGCGTCCAGACCTGTGTCCAGCCCCATGTCCAGCATCGTGTCCAGCCCCACGGTGAGCCCCACATGAGGCTCCCTGCTCAGTGGTGAGTCTGCTTTTCCCTCTTCCTCAGCCTGCTGCCCCACGTGCTTGCACTCTCTCTCTCTGTCAAACAAATAAATACAATCTTTAAAAAAAAATAAGTAACTTTAAATACACAGAGGCAATGTTCACCTGTTGGAAACAGAAGTTTTAAAACAGCTTTTTGAGATATAATGTGTACCTTAACCAATTCACCCATTTAAAATGTAGAATTCAATGGCTTTTAGTATATTCAGAATTGTGCTACCATCACCATGATCCATTTTAAAACACTTCATCACCCTGAGCCACCCCCTACCCCCAAACCATTAATCCTCATTCCCTCCATGTCCCACAAACCTAGGCAAACACAAATCTACTTTCTGGGTCTATAGATTTGCCTATTCTGGGCATTTCATATAAATGGAATTAGATAATATATGGCCTTATGTGTCTGCTTTCTTTGTATAACATTTTTAAGATTCAGTCATATTGGGGCACCTGGGCGGCTCAGTGGGTTAAGCCTCTGCCTTCGGCTCAGGTCATGATCTCAGGGTCCTGGGATCGAGCCCTGCATCGGGCTCCCTGCTCAGCGAGGAGTCGGCTTGCCTCTCTCCCCAGCTTGTGCTCTCACTCTCTGTCTCTCAAATAAACAAATAAGTAAATAAATAAATAAATCTTTAAAAAGAAAGAGTCAGTCATACTGTTGTATGTATCAGTACTTTGTTTTTTTATGGCTACATGATAGCCCGCCGTATGCACCCATCATGTTTTGTTTGCCCACTCATTGGTTGATGGACATTTGCCTTGCTTCCATTTTTTGGCATCATGTATAATGCTGCTATGGAGATATATGCACAGATTTGGGGTCAACATATGTTTTCATTCTCTTGAGTATATACCTAGGAGTGGAATTGCTGGGTCATACAGTAGCCCCGTGTTTAACGTTTTGAGGAGCTGTCATGCAGTTTTTCAAACTGGCAGCAGCATCCATTCCCACCAACACAGAATGAGGGTTGCTTCCTATCATTACCAGTACATGTTTTACCTGTCTTTCTGACCATGGCCATCCTAGTGGGCATGAAGAAAGTAAGAGGTCTTTAAAGAATACAAATTATGGTGAAAGCTTAACAATCTCATGAATGATATGGGATTCTTTTTTTTAAAGCAGGTAATGAAGAGATGCTCAACATCACTCATCATCAGGGAAATGCAAATCAAAACTACAGTGAGATGTCACCCCACACCTGTCAGAATGGCTAGAATCAACAACATAAAAAACAAGCATTAGCAGGGCTGTGGAGAAAAAGGCACCCTTGTGCACTGTTGGTGGGAATGCACACTGATGCAGCCCCTGTGGAAAACAGTATGGAGTTTCCTCAAAGAATTAAAAATAGAACTGCCCTATGACCTAGTAATCACGCTAATAAAGATTACAAAAACACTTAATCAAAGGGATACATGCATCCCGATGTTTATAGCAGCATTATTGACAATAGCTAAGCAATGGAAGCAGCCCAAGTGTCCATCAATTGCTGAATGGATAAAGATGTGGTGTGTATATACAATGGGGGTATTGTTCAGCCATAAGAATGAAATCTTACCATTTGCAATGACATGGATGGAACTAGAGTGTATAATGCTAAGTGAAATAAGTCAGAGAAAGACACATACCATATGATCTCATTCATATGTGGAATTTAAGAAACAAAACAAACGAACAAAGAAGAAAAGAGACAAACAAACACAAACAAAAACCAGACTCTTAACTATAGAGCACAAACTGATGGTTATCAGAGGGGAAGTAGGGAGGGAGGATGGGTGAAACAGGTGAAGGGGATTAAGAGCACACTTATCTTGGGGCGCCTGGGTGGCTGAGTGGGTTAAGCCTCTGCCTTTGGCTCAGTTCATGATCTCAGGGTCCTGGGATTGAGCCCCACATCGGGCTCTTTGCTTATTGGGGAGCCTGCTTCCCCCTCTCCCTCTTCCTGCCTCTGTGCCTACTTGCGATCTCTCTCTGTGTCAAATAAATAAATAAATAAATAAATAAAATCTAAAAAAAAAAAAAAAAGAGCACACTTATGTTAATGAGCACTAAGCAATGTACAGGACCATTGAATTGCTATATTGTACATTTGAAACTAATATAACACTGCATGTTAACTACACTGGAGTTAAAATAGAACAGTTAAAAAGAAGAAAATAAGAAACATGTTTTGATATACGTATAATCCGACTGAAATCTTGCTCTCCTCTGCAGGCGGATGGTATTGCTGGTGGAGATGCTGGCCGGTATTTTCAGAGTTCAGGGACCATTCTTTAAGAGGAACAAAAATACTGATCCCTGAATAAGGTGAAAGAGTTCATTGTTTATCTTAACCTTCTTCCCCATGGCGAAACACCTGCCATCCATAACGTGGAAGCAAAAGTGTAACTGTTTTTACTGCATCTGACAAGATAATTCTGGTGAACACGAAGTGTGAATATTTGGTTAAGAATTCTTGGAGACCATCCGAGGCAGTGGGAAGCCCCAGGTTTCCATCTCCTGGCTGACCGCAGGTTGCGCCCTGTGTATGGGCTTCCTGGCCGTGGGAGGAGATGATGGAGGACTCGAAGTTGGCAGCAAAGAGAAATGGCCCGACTGGAAGGGGGAAAAGCAAGGAAAGCACAAGGCTGACCTGAGAGGGATGACTGAGCAGAGCTCTTGAGGAAAGACATTTGGCTTGTTCACTGTAGTGTTCATAGGACCCAGGCCTCTGCCAGGTTCCTCATGTTCATTTCCTCTTGATGATGCACAAGATGAGGAAACCACTTGATCCAGTGGCGAGCCCAAGGGAGAGATGGGTTCAGGCCTCTCTGAACCACTGTCTTTGACTGCTGTCACACTGAGCATGTCAATTGCGTGAATAATGGGACTCGGGATAGAAGAAACTGGTAACAGGAGGGGGACTGGGTGCTGCTGGACAGGAATAGGGGGCACTTTTTCACTGGCTACCCTTTGCACTAAATAAGCATATTCCTTTTCAAAATAAATACCTCACATAACAAGTTCTACTATCTCCCACACACAGTAAGAGGCCACTTTTGAAGGATCAAAAGTCAGCTTAGCTTCAGTTTTCATTTTTCTTCAAAATAAGTATTCTAAATAAATAAATATTCTAAGCCCAGCATGATGACCTGGCAGCTTGTACACTAAAAATAAATGAGCCAAAATGGGCAGGAAATTGTTTATAGCAAGAATTACAGAAAACAGTGACTATTACACTTTAATAAGAGACTTAATAAATTAGTTGGATTGAAGGCTTTGATAGAGGATTGGTTAAAGTCATGAGAAAACACTATATTTGGAAAAAGATACATTTATAGCATACAAGAGGAGTCAAAACATCACTGGTAACCATACAGATGAAGTTCAAACACAAAGCAGTATTTTGAATCACTAAAATAGTTTTTTTAAAGTATAATACCCCATTCAGACAAAGTTATAGTGAAATTGGTATACATTGCTTTAGGGTAGCATTAAACTGAAAATTACATGTATTTGGATATGTATCAGTTGTCATAAAAATGTTTATACTGCTTGAGTGAGGAATCTCAAGTTAGTCTATTTTGTCTAAGGAAATTATCCAAAAGGAGCTTAACCAAATATACAAAAATGGTATCGCACCATTATTTATAATGCTTGAACACTGAATACAATTATTGTGCATAAACTTAGTGGAATACAATACAGTCTTTTAAATTAATATATAAAAATAATTTTTCAAAGCAAAGAATTTCATGCATGTATATATATGTGTATATATATGCAGGGATTTAGTTGCATGGATGAAAATTAAACACTATGATAAAAGATTGGATATTATGTATCTAACAATATGATGTAATTTTGGTCAAATAACTAATGGAAGATTCATACTGTTTATTCAAATTAAGGCTATAGAATATTTGTTCACATGTTGATACATATTTTCAAGCTTTTGGAATGAAAAAGTTACAGAACAATTGTAAAGTAGATTACATTTTGATTTCAAAACTTTTAGACTTTTCAATTTCAAAACTTACTAAAAAGCTATGTAATCATGACAGTATGGCACTGGAATTAAGTTAGACTTACAGGTCAATGGGATAAAATTGAGAGCCCAGAAATAAATCCATGAACTTATGGTCAGTTGATTTTGACAAGGGTGCCAAGAGCATTTAGGGGGACAGAATTGTCTTTTTAACAAATGGTGCCAGAACAACAGGATAACCACATGCAAAAGAGTGAAGATTTAAATGTATAGATCAAAGACTTAAATGTAAGAGCTAAAAACACAGAGGAAAACATAGGTATACAATCTTTGTGACCTTGGATCAGGCAACAGTTTCATAGATACGTCACCTACAGCATAAACAACCAAAGAAAAATAGATAATTTGGACTTCAGAAAAGCCAAAACTTTTTTTTTTTTTTTTTTTTGCACTGGAGGACATTGTTAAAATAGTAAAAATACAACCCACACTGTAGGAGAAAATACTTGCAAATCACATACTTGATAAGGGCCTCACATCCAGAATATGTAAAGAAGTCTTTACAATTCAACCACAAAAAGGGTGACACACTTGAACAGGCATTTCTCCAAAATGATATAAAAGAGGTCAATAAGCACATGGAAAGATACTTACCATCACTAGCTATTAGGGAACTACAAATTAAAATTACAAGGAGATACCACTTTACTAGATGAGATTATCATTCTACTAGGATGGCTGTAATAAAAAAAAATGGGAAATAACAAATGACATCAAGGTTGTGGAGAAATCTGAACCCTCACCCATTGCTGGTGGGAAAGTAAAATGGTGTAGATGCCACATAACTGGGCCCATATGACCCAGCAATTCCAGGTCTATGTACATACCCCAAAGAATTGAAAACATATTTTTATGCAAAAACTTGCACTTGAATGTTCATAGTAATGTTATTCATAATGGCCAAAAAGTGTTAACACCCCAGATGTTTATCAACTGATGAAGACATAAACAAGATGTAGATATATATACAGTGGAATATTAGTTCTCCATATAAAGGAACAAAGTACTGATTCATGCTACAATATGGATGAACCTTGAAAACATGTTAAGTGAGAGAAGCCAGTCACAAGGGACCAAGCCACATTCCTCTATATGAAATGTCCAGAATAGGGAAATCTGTAACAAAAAATTGGTAGCTTCCTAGGTCTGGGAGGATGGGAGGGAAATGACAGCTAAAGGGTATGGGGTTTCTTTTTGGTATGATGAAATGCACTACATTAATTTGGTGATTACTGGAAAACATTGTGACTATACTATAAACCACTGAACTGCATACTTTAAAATGGTGAATTAGATGTTATTTGAATTATATAGTTGACTGTTGAACAACATGGTTTGAACTATGTGGGTCCACTTATATGCAGCTTTTTTTCTATAAATGTAACACTGTACATATTGTAAATGTATTTTTATCATTTTCTTAATAACCTTTTTTCCTCTAGCTTACTTTATTGTAAGAATGCCATATATAATGTGTACAACATACAAAATAGGTGTTAACTGACTGTTTATGTCATTGGTAAGGCTTTCAATTAACAGTAGACTAATAGTAGACTATAAGCAGTAACGTTTTGGGGGAGTCAAAAGTTATATACAGACTTTCAGCTGTCTGGGGAATTAGCATCTCAATCCCTGCATTGTTCAAGGGTCAACTATATATCTCATCTTAAAAATTTCAAAAAAGTATATTGCGAGCCAAATCCAAATGTCTATCTGTCTGTCTGTCTGTCTATCTTTGGATGGTGGAATCAGGCATACATTTTTAGTTGCTTCCTCATAATCAAATGTTATTTCTAAGTTATTTCCAATTAACATTTGTAATTTATATAATGAATAGCATAAAAGAAAACTCTAAGATAAACATGGAACATACTAAGTTACAATTTATAAATGCAGGGAGGTAAGATAGTTACACATTCTGCAACTATGCAGCACGAGTATATAGCACCAGTCCAGAAAAACAGAATAAAATAAAAATAATTGTGCAAAAGTAGTAAAATTATGTATGAAGCAGTAAAATTATGTACGGAATTCTTTGAAACTTTTTTCAGTATTATAGTCTATATCTTTACAAGTAGGAGGGAAATAACGATATTTGCCTTACAAAATGAATTTGGTTTTTATTTATTTGACATTGAAAGTGTTAATGACAACATTATCAACTCTAGGTGCTTTTTTTTTTTTTAAAGCCTACGTGCTTTTTAAAAAGAATTCACTGAGTCATTCTACAATAAATTTTCCATGTTTCTTCCTTGAACTTTCCCTTTCACTAATCTTTCCCTGTTGCCTGAGTTTTCTTCTTGTGTAAGTTGTATTCAAAATTATTAATTCCCTTTAATATTTAAAACTTACCAGAGTTTAACTTTGAATAATATTTCCTAATAATTGAAACTTTTTTTGTGTTTTATAGTTTTTGCATTTTGTTTCTCTTATGCTCTCTTGGGTATTTTGTTGACTATCCTAATAGTCTGCAGATATTATATTAGCTAATTTCTTATCTGTTTTGCATATTAAACAGACACCCTCTTATTTTCTAATTTATTTGATTTTGTATTTATTGTTTTTTCCTTTTAAATTTATTACCTAAATCTTAAAAAAATTTAGATGTAAGGGTGCCTGGGTGTCTTAGTCGGTTGGGCAGCTGCCTTCCACTCAGGTCGTGATCTGGGGGTCCTGGGATTGAGCCCTGCGTTGTGCTCCCTGCTCTGTGGAAAGCCTGCTTCTCCCTCTTCCTTATTCCTTCCCCCTGTTCGTGCTCTCTCTCTCTCTCTCTAATGAATAAATGAAATCTTAAAAAAAAATTTAGGTGTAGATTGAATTGATTTTTTTTTCCTTTTTCCTTCTTACTAACATAGGCAGGAGAGAAGCAAATTTCATCTGACACAGTTTTAACTGTGTAAATGGTATCTTTTTTTCTTTGTCTTTAACATAACATCCCTTTTAGGGTGTTGCTTTTTTAACCCAATTATCCTGTCACAGAGTTTTTCTTCCATTCTTTCCTGGTCATGTGCATATAGGTAGTATATTGGGTTTTTCTTCAATTTTGATATATGGAAGTCCAAGAAAGCATGTGTAAAATCTTTGTGTATCTATGTGAATATCTTTATCTTGAAAATTGCAATTAATTATCTGAGAAGGCTCAATCTGCACTTGAGAAAGCTCTCTATTTCCCAATTTTTCCTCTTTGGATCTGTTCCTCCAATTGCCTCCATCTGTAGAAGAAATGGAGGCCCCCGAGGTGCAGGGACTTGCCCATGATCTCTCAGTGGGGCTGGGGCAGAGCCTGTGTTTGGGGCCAATGAATGGAGCATTGTGGAGAGTTAAGGCCAACATGCTCCAACAGCACCCTTTCCAGGCTGGTGCCCCGTTCTGTTGAAAAGCTACAGAGTGGAGCTGCCTTAGGCTGACAGTGTGGATTGTGTTCACACCCACCCCTGCAGTCTCCCTCCCTTACACTGCATGATACTGGCCTCTTGTCCTTGGGCTTCCCTTTGGCCTTGCCTGAAGAAGGGATTCTTTCCTAGGATGCTGCCTTCTCATGAAAACAGACCTCCACTGGGTCCTGCCACGGGTGTTCTGGGCATGCCCAGGTATGCCAGTATCCTGGGATGAACATAACTTAATCAGTCAAGCTGGGACCCGCTATACTTGGTTTTATGCAAGCATGATTTACCTGAGCCAGGCTCTTAAATTATTCTATCTTCCCTTTTGTTAAATGTATTTTTAAAAGAAGATTCGTAGGTGTGGATTTTGTCTTTTTTATCCAGTCTATGATGCTGTTTTTTAAATGGGAGAATTTCGTCCATTTACATGTAATCTTATTATTGTTGTAATTGTGTTATTCTGTATTTTTCTCAGTTATTAAAATTCTTTGTTTTCTCTTTACTTTAGGAATTCTATTGGAGGCCGTATATTTTGATTCATTTAAGGGAGATGAGATGTTCTCACAGTTTTCTGATCCACTCAGTTTCCTAGTGTTTTACCACGTTTTTCACTAACCCAACAAAAACCAGACTGGGCTCATTTCTTTATATTTGTTCTAACTAAAAACTACTTTTAAAAAGCCCATTTCTTTCTTTCCTTTTTTTAAAAATATTTTATTTATTTATTTTTAAGATTTTATTTATTTATTTATTTGACAGAGAGAGATCACAAGCAGGCAGAGAGGCAGGCAGAGAGAGAGGAAGCAGGCTCCCTGCTGAGCAGAGAGCCCGATGCGGGGCTTGATCCCAGGACTCCGAGATCATGACCTGAGCCGAAGGCAGCGGCCTAACCCACTGAGCCACCCAGGTGCCCCTATTTTATTTATTTGACAGACAAAGATCACAAGTAGGCAGAGAGGCAGGCAGAGATAGAGGAGGAAGCAGGCTCCCTGCTGAGCAGAGAGCCTGATATGGGGCTCGATCCCAGGACCACGACCTGAGCTGAAGGCAGAGGCTTTAACCCACTGAGCCACCCAGGTGCCCAGCCCATTTCTTTCTTAAGAGTAGGTTCAGGTTCTTTTTTTTTTTTTTTTTTGTCATTCACTCACCTTCTGTAAGTCCTCTTTGCTCCAATTGTCTTGGTTTGGTTTTGGCATTCTGAGAAGTTTTATCTCCAGTTAAATATTTTCAAATGTGATGATCACATTTTACAAAAATTATATTTTATATTCTTGCTTTTCAGACGAGGGTATGTCTATCTGTGTAGATGGTTTATACACTGCATAAGATTATTTCTCCCATATACCTTCATTGAAATTCGCTCCCCCCTTTCCCTTAATAAGTGGGTCCACAGGTGCACACACATACACAGAGATCCTAAGGAAGGTATAGACCCAAATGGCCGTAATTGTGCTGAGTGAGTCTGTTTCCCTGGCTCAGTGGACTGGCTCCATGGATTCCCCTAGCCCAATTCATAGGCTGGCCTTAGCCAATCAGCTGTTTTCTCTCTAGACTTTTTTTTTTTTAATTAAAAAAAATTTTTTTAAGATTTTATTTATTTATTTGACAGATAGAGCTCACAAGTAGACAGAGAGGCAGGTAGAGAGAGATAGGAGGGAAGCAGGCTCCCCGCTGAGCTGAAAGCCCGATGCGGGGCTCAATCCCAGGACCCTGGGACCATGACCTGAGCCGAAAGCAGAGGCTCAACCCACTGAGCCACCCAGGTGCCCCAATTTTTAAAAATTTAAAAAATATTTTATTTATTTATTTGACACACAGAGAGATCACAAGTAGGCAGAGAGGCAGGTGGGGGCGGGGGGGTGGGGAAGCAGGCTCACCGCCGAGCAGAAAGCCTGATTCGGGGCTCGATCCCAGGACACTGGGATCATGACCTGAGCTGAAGGCAGGGGCTTAACCCACTGAGCCACCCAGGTGCCCCTTCTCTCTAGACTTTTAAAGTGAAGAGACTCATTCAGCACTGGGCTCTGGAACAGGAGAAAGACTCATCTTTCATTAAAATTGTCCCCCACCCACCTCAAACACTCACATAGACGCAGAGCAGACCCAACCCTCCCCTCCAGCACATGATTCCTTGGAGGAGAGTTGTTATCTGGAAAAATAAAATTGGGGTTCTGTTAGGAAGAGAGCATGCCAAAAGTGAAGTTCGGTAGGCTGCAGCATCTGCTACAGAAGGAAGAAAGCAGGCTGTCTTTATTAGGACCATCATATACAAGATACTTAGCTGTTCTACACTCCTAAGAGTGACTATGGTTGAGGATAATTTCTTATCAAAAGATAATATTAACGAACATGTATTTACTCTGTGCCAGGCACTGTTTTAAGTGCTGACTCATTTAAAATTCACATCAACCTTATGAGGTGGTACCATCATCATTCACATGCTATGGGGAGGGAAACCTCAATGGAGAGGTTGAGTAATTTGCCTAAGGTCACACAGTGAGTAACTGAAGGAGTTGGATTTGAACCCAGCAGTCTGACTCCCCTTAAGTGCTCTGACGCATTGCTGCTCTACTGGAATTGTCAGCTTCACGTGATGCTGGTATCTGGCGGGGGCAAGGTACAGGAGAAAAGTAAAACCTTGTCCTATGAAGACCTCCCTGTGCAGTGAATTCTCCAACAAGACAAAGGCGTCAACATTCTGGGTTTAATGAGTTTAAAGGTCACTTTCTCTCTTTCTCTCTCTCTTTTTAAAAAAAGGTTTATTTATTTATTTATTTGAGAGAGAGATCGAGCAGGGGAGGGCAGAGGGAGAGGGAGGAGAGAAGCAACTCCCCGCTGAGTGCCCAGCCTGATGCGGGGCTGGATCTCAGGACCCTGAAATCAGGACCTGAGCTGAAATCAAGAGTCAGAGGCTTACTCCACAGAGCCACCCAGGCACCCCATCATTCTTTCTTTTGTAAAGTGTAATAACTATTATTTGTCCTTTACAGCTGCTGAGTTTAATCTGTGATTAAAAGAGAGAGCTCAAAATTAGAAAAAGGATGGAAGATCAGGAGGAAGAGAAGATCAAAATGGGAGGATGAGAAAGTATAAAAATTAAGGCAAATTAAAAGCTAAGGATGTGGGAATCAAAACTTTGAATGAATAGCATTGTAAATTAGAAGTTTCTAAAATTCATACTTGAAGTAGCATATGTTAAATAGAAAATAAAAGAAAGAGTAAAGAACTAGAAAATAAAAAAAATCTAAAAGATTAAGATGTTGATAGATCTGATAAAGTAAAATGAATAGTTAGAAGTATTCAAAAAGACAAGATTTTAAATAGGAACTAGAAGGTAAAGAGAAATTAAGGTAAAGGCTAAGAGCTCTGAGGCTAGAAGTGGGAAGGATCTAGAAGGGTTTATATTTATTTATTTTTATTATCATTTTTCTTAAAACACTTTTTAAAAAGATTTATTTATTTATTTGTCAGAAAGAGAGAGAGAGAGAGAGCACAAGCAGGGGTAGCTGCATGCGAAGGGAGAAGCAGGCTCCCCACTGAGCACTGAGCCCAATGCGGGACTCTTTTCCAGGACCCCGGGATCACGACCTGAGCTGAAGGCAGGCACTTGACTGACTGAGCTACCCGAGTGTCCCAAGGATTTATATTTAAAAAGCTAAGAGAAAAATAATACCCATAGAGTGAAAAAAAATGTATTTTTTTAAAGCTACGTTTAAAGTGAGACAAGAACAAAAACAGACTCTAATCAGACAAGGACCACAAGTGGGAAATAGTGGTCTGGGTGGGGCTAATTGCTGGAATTGAGGAGGCCAAGATCAATTGATATGGAGAGGATGAGACATATTTTCTGCTCACCCGTAACACTCAGTCCACAGCACTATCAGCCTGCACATGCAAAGACGAGGCTCAGGGCACTTGACTCCATCCCACAGTTGACTGGGTCCTTCCAAAGTCATACCCCTAGGTCAGCAAATACTCCTTCACTTTGGTTCTTGGCATATGTTCAACTTTATCTTAGTTTTTCTTCAATATATTTAATAGTCCTTTTGTTAGCTTTTCCTTCCTTCAAGGTGAAATCAAGCATGTTGTTGAGTAGATTTATTCCATCATATTTCCTTGAAGTTCTTGTGGTATGTGGTTATTATACTGTTTGTTTACACACACACACACACACACACACACACACACACACACAATCTTTATCACCCGGCTTCATTTTGCTCCTTTCAGTGTAATTACTGGTAGTGGGATTGGGTGGGGGGAATGAGACAACCTACAGGACTTGTTCTTGGACTGGGCTGTAAGGGTGAGGGTATGGTTGGGGGGGTAGTGGAGGAGTCATGGATGGCTCCTAGGTGTCTGGATTTCTGCCTCTGTGACTGGGTAATGTTAGTGTAGGAGAAGACCAAGTTTGGGGTGGTAGTGGTTAGCAATCAGGGTCATCTGGACCTGGAAAACTCTGGGGCATTTTAGCTGTCTATAATCCTTAAACTCCCAGGAAGGCTTAAATTTCATAATAGACACAATCTCTCTCAATGCCAAAATGGAATTCTGCTGGAGGTAGCAGATGGCTCACTGTATATACCAACAGGGCATGGTAACCCTGGTCCTCTGTTTATAGTCTGGGCATTCTTCAAAGCATTTTGCCTCATTAATTGGCTATCCATTATCCAGAGACCAAAGTCAGACAAAGCTCATCACCTGGAACCCTTCATGCTCACACCATCCTGGAAGTACAGAGTTCACCCACAACTCCCTGCAGTTCTCTAAAAATATGCCCTTCACAGCAATGATAAGTTTCCATCTCTTGAGGCACCATTGAAATCTCCTGGAACCCCAGCCAAGTTTAGCCTAATGAATCACCTTGGCCCTTCAAAAGAACACAGTTCTTTAGAATTGAAGCTCTATTCAAGGCTGCCAGGAGAATGTGGGATAGACTTTATCTATTGTACTTTATGGATTTGGGGCTTCTTTTTGTCTATATTACAAGTTGACTTCATCCCTTCTGTTCACAGAACACTTGATTTAGCTTCCTTTTATCAAACTGTATCCATTTCCTGGTCCTGCCTTGCTTATGTTACACCTAAAGCTCCCTTGGCTGATATTTTGGGTGTTCTAACTTTTCAGCCACACATTTTGAATTTCTTGGTTTACTCCCACAGATGGCTGGTCACATCCATTGTGGATAAATTTAGTCTCTTAGAGAGGAATATGCCTCTTCTAAGTGAGCTTGTTATAATACTTGATATAATGGGAAAGGTACTGGTTTTCTGGACTGGAGGTATGCTTGGGGCAAACTTTTCACCCCACGTCACTCTACAGTGTGTTGTGGTTTTCCTTTGACCCCCATGAGGAAGCCCAGAGGTCACTCTACTCAGATGATGTGGGAACATGTCCATCCAACCCTGCCGCCTTCACACTGGCTGACACCACACTTTCTGTCAGCTGTCCCCAAATGGCATCTGCCTGCTGAACTTATGTACAGTAACTGTCCTTGCTTTGCTTATCTATTCCTGCTTCTAATATTTTTGGTTTCCTTGGCTTCATCTCCCATTTCTGGCTCTGAAACTCCAGCTTTTATGTTATTAATCCTCTGTTCTTTTCCTTTTCTGGGTCTTCCCATCCCTGGCTCCACCGAGGCCTCTCCCACCCATTGAATCACTGTACCTTTGCCATCCTCTGCCTCCTGCTCCTGGTCGTCGTCTTCCTTCTCAGCTACAGTTTGAATAGACAAGTTTTGCCTACATCACAGTTTCGAGGAGGATTCTGACCTGTGTGAACATTAAAAACCAAAAGCTCAGGGCGCCTGGGTGGCTCAGTTTGTTAAGCTTCCGACACTTGATTTTGGCTGAGGTCATGATCTCAGGGTCCTGGGATGAAGCCCCATATCAGACACCATGCTCAGTGGGTGGTGCATGTGTCTGCTTGAGGATTTTCTCTCACTCTCCCTCCACCCCTTCCCCGGCTCTTCTCCCTCTATCCCCGCTCCCCACAACGCACACTCTCTTTACAATAAAGAAATCTTTATTATGTTTAAAAGATTTTATTTATTTGTCAGAGAGACAGAACACAAGCAGGGGTAGTGGTAGGCAGAGGGATAATCAGGCTCCCCTCTGAGCAGAGAGCCCAAAAAGGGGCTCAATCCCAGGACTCTGGGATCTTGACCTCAGCCAAAGGCAGATGCTGAGAGGCACGATGCTTAGTGGATGTGACAGCTGTCCCTAAAATAAAGAAATCTTTACAAAAAAAAAAAAAAAGAATTAGTAGAGGTATTAGTAGAGGAATCCTGAAATTTACAAATATTTTCAAAAACATTAAGGCATTCAGGAACAATTTAATGTATCTCTTTTCCTTGTTTGAATATGGAGGGTATGGTGGTGGACCCCTTCACTACACAGATTCAAGCCACTGTCCACTCTTCTAACATATTTCTGAATTTTGATTTTTTATGGTCACTACTAGGCACTTGATGGCCATATCATGGCACTGGCGACCTCGTCCTTACTGGACTTCTTTCCTCTCCTGCTGTCTTTTCAGCAGTCCTTCAACCGAACATTCTGACTGCTCTTTGGAGGTTCCTCTTCCTTGTTCACACCTACAATGTTGATGTTTTCTTAGGCTCCATCCTTCTCTACCCACTTCCCTGGGCAGGCCACACTGACCTTTCAGCGGGTTTCTCAACCGAGCCTACTTTTCTCACCTGAAACATTCCTTCCTATCCTTCTACTTGCTTGAAGTCTCCACCCCCAGCTTTCCCCTCACCCGCGTCTGGGTAGGCCCCACGGTCTTTGCTTAGCCCACCCTGCTTAGCCCACCCGGGGAAGCAGCACCCGTCTGCCTGCCCTCCCATCAGTCTGTGCATTTCTGAGAGCAGGAACCACGCCTCAATCGCCCCTCTCCGCCTCTCTAGGGCCAGCCCTGCCCCGAGACTTCTGCAGGTGTCCCAAACCGAGTGTCTAGTAAATGAAAGGAGTAAAACCCGTCCTGCGAAAGCACCGGCGTGGCTACAACAGGGGACTAGAAGCCGGGCGAGAGCCCGGGCTGGGAGGGCTCTGGAGCGGGCGGCTGAGGCGGCCGGGGTGGGGCAGGAAGGCTTCTTAGAAGTGGCCTCGCTGGAGCCACTGGCTACAGCCCATCGCCCCCACGAGGCGAGGCGGGAGAAGTCGCGCTGGCCCTTCGCCAGCCCCCGCCAGCCGCCTCACACCCCAACAACCGAACGACCGCAGACCCCCGCCTCCGCGGCGCTCTGGCTGCGCGCGGCGCTCTTGGCCCCGTCCGGCCACCGTTGCTCTCTATCCCGCCGCGCCCCGACCCGGAAGAGCATTCTCCTTAGCAACTGCGGGACCGCAGCGGCGCCAGCCTCCCGGGAGCAACGGTGAGGCCTCCCCGCCCCAGTCCCGCGCGCCTCACCTCGACCCCTTCCCTGGACCCGCCCCGGGTCTGGCCTGCGGGCTCTCCTACGTCCTTAGCGGGGCACGTGCGGCAGCGGCCCGGGGCGAGCGCCCTCCTTCTCCGGCGTCGTTGCCCTGCTCCGGCGCCGCCCCTGCCACCACAAGCCCCCAGCTCTCGGCCGACCCGGCCTGCCAGGCTCGGCTCCTCGCGACCGGCCCCGCCGGCCCTCCCTTGTAGCCTCCTTCGGGGCGCGGATAGGAAAACCAGAATTAAATAGAGCCTGTTGCTGTAGAGAGGATGATTCCAGAGGCTCAGGTCACCTGTGGGCGCGTTGTCCTGGGTCCTGATACAGATGTTTGGGACTAGCAGGGATGGAGCGTTTAAGGAGCCTTGAACGGCAGCCACTTAACTAGAATGCTTGATATTTGCCTGCTGCTTTGGGCTTTCCTAAGTGATGTATTTTATCTGCTTTTTTGATCGTGGAGACTCATGTAATTGGACATTTTAAACTGATCCTTTTCCGGAGATTATGTTCCCTGGTTTTTAGGGATGTGCCGTTAGTATTAAATGTAGCTTAGATTTTGTGTCTTCCAGTTTTCTACAGAAGGAACTCTGCCTGGAACTGATTAAGTTTGGGGACGATGTCAAGTGAAATTTGCAGTAGTAGGGGAAGAAAGTAGGGGCAGGTGTTGTTACTATCTCTGACTTAATCTGAAAAGACACCATGACATTGAAAACCTCCCTTGATTGAGTTTGTAGGTGTGGTACTAAGAAAACTCTAAACCTTGTTTGAACATGTGTTGGATAACGACTTTATATTTAATCTAATAATGGAGCTAAAACTGAGGCATATGAAAAACTTTCAGGAATGACCTTTGCAGGAATTTTTATACCAAAATCCATTATTCAACGCAGTATAATTTCATATCACTTCAGTAAGTATTTAATAAGCACCCAGAGTGTTAGACTATGTGAAAAGATATAAAATAAGAGTGTTTAGATTAAATTATTGGGAAAACTATAAAGTAGCGTTTAACTGCAAAATCAGAGGGAGGAGAGATCACTGTGGGCTGGAGTTTTCTGTTAGGTTTATGGATTATATCTCTAAAGTATAGATACAGTTTATATTGGTATTGGAGGGGACAGGGAATCCTAAATAGTTCCTTATGTTCTTAAGGGTTTTGGGAAATAGTTCAAAGTGATATTTTGTAGTTTCTGCTTAAAGCTCTATGGTTACTTGATTGCATTATCCATTTCTTTCACTCTTAGTACACATCTGGCATTTTTCCTTTTTGAGATCTAAATGAATATGGCTTATATATAGTAGGGGGCTTTGCCACTTAAGAGATTCATTCCTTTGCTTCTGTAATGGTCTTTTATATGAGTCATCACAGTTTTGAGTAGAGTTAGTTACTGGGTCATATGTACTTAAGAGTCTTGTGAAATGTTGCTCTTTATTCATTTGACGGGTATTTCCAGAGGGCTTCTTATGTAGCAGGCATTGTAGCAAGAAATACCAAAACGAGTTGCCCAGCAAGTAGTAATTCTGCTTTATCTACCGTGTGTTTGTGTATTTTTGTATTTTACTTAACAGCATTTGATGCTCAGTGTTTGCCTAGGAACATAGAAGGGCCAGAGAAGTGTATTTTGTTATTTTTCTCAAGAGTTGAATAGGGATTTTAGGCTTAATTGCTTTGGACATCCTCTAAAGATTCATTAAAGTATCCTCTTAAGATGTTTCATTGCCTTCTTATGGGTTTGTTGCCCATTTATTCACTTGTTCAACAAATATTTGAGTGCTTATTGGGTACACTGTGTTGGGCGTTGGGAATGGGAAGCAGTGAATGCATCTCTGGCCCCTGTCTTCAGATGATACCAAATAATCGCATGAACGTAAAACTACAACAGTGACACCATTTGATTTAGGGGAGTCCCTGGAAAGACATTTGAACTAAGATCTGAAGGTTGCATAGGAAAAGGAAGAGTGTTCCAGTGAGAGCAAACAGCAAGGGCAAAGATGATGGGGTTCATTGGAAGGATTGAGGACTTAGGGTACAGCTCTATGTACAGAACAGGAAGAGTGTTGAAGAATCTGGTGGGAAAGGGGGCTGGAGAGGTGTACTGGGCCTTGTAAGCAGGTTGAGGAGTTTTTCTTTATTTTTGGAGTAAAGAGAAGCCTCTATACAGTTTTACTTAGATACTTAGGATGGATTGCAAATGCGGAGGACACAAATTGTGTTTAGTCTGCTTTGTATTTCTGCCATTGCTTAGTATTTGTATTGTTGTCTTCCTTATTTCCTTATATGTGCTCCCTCAGCTCTATTGTAGTTAGAAAAGCTTCCATGTCGTACCAGCGAGATGTGTCCACTTTTTTTTTTTTTTTTTTTTAATTGGGACAAAAGGAATTTTAGGGATTAGTATCAGACAGTAGAAGTTAGTTGATTTGAAATATTTTTGTATCAGTATGACTGCTGGGCACTAACTTCTGTGACTTTTTTTCTTTTTTTAGGATTTGTTTTATTTGAAAGAGAGAGTGCACATGGTGGGAAGGAGGGTTAGAGGGGAAGGGAGGGAGAATCTTAAGTAGACTTGGCTGAGTGCAGAGCTAGAGGTGGGGCTCCGTCTCAGGACCCAGAGATCATGAACTTAGCTGAAACCAAGAGCTGGGCGTTTAACCAGCTATGCCACCGAGGTCTCCCTGTGATTGTTTCTTTTTAATTGTAGTAATAAAAACACATGATACAAAAGTTATCCTCTTAACCATTTTTAAGTGTTCAGTTCAGTGATGTTAACCGTATTTACACTAGGACTTTTTTATCTTGCGAAACTAAAACTCTGGACCCATTGAACAACTCCCTGTTTCTGTCTCCTCCCCTACCCTCCTGCCCTGCCAGATTCTGGTGCATTTGAGTTTTCTTTTTTAAGATGTTATTTATTTATTTGACAGACAGAGCTCACAAGCAGTCAGAGAGGCAGGCAGAGAGAGAGGAGGAAGCAGGCTCCCTACTGAGCAGAGAGCCTGATGCGGGGCTCCATCCCAGGACCCTGAGATCATGACCCGAGCTGAAGGCAGAGGCCCAACCTACTGAGCCACCCAGGCGCCCGGTGCATTTGAGTTTTATTACTGAAAATGTTTTTTAAGAATCATATTTGTGTCACATTCTGTAGTACTCATCTCAGAATGCCTTCAGACCATTTGATTTTGGGTATTGGGCTGGAAAGGATTTTGAGATGGCTTAATATTTTTAAGTACAAAAAAGTAGAACAGAGCATTTTCTCGGGTGGGGGAGGTTTGTAAACTTTTATTTATTTATTTATTTATTTATTTATTTAAAAGACTTTGTTTTTATTTATTTGGCAGAGACCACAAGTAGGCAGAGAGGCAGGCAGAGAGAGAGGAGGAAGCAGGCTGCCCGCTGAGCAGAGAGCCCTACTCGGGGCTCGATCCCAAGACCCTGGGATCATGACCTGAGCCGAAGGCAGAGGCTTTAACCCACTGAGCCACCCAGGCTCCCCGATTTGTAAACTTTTATTTGCAGTTTCCCAGTTTATCCTAGGCTTGGGATTCCTGTAGTGTTGCCGAACTAACCTTATAGAATCTAGTTTTTAGAATGTCCTTTGAACCTTCAGAAATTTTTTTTTGTTTTATATGGGGAGTTGCTATGGGAAGTAAAGTTCATTTTCATTCAAATACTAGTGAGCACATGCACAAGTCAGACTGTGAGTGAGCCTGGAATGGTTCCATAGATCCCTCTGAGGTCCTGCCATCTCTGCCATTACTGTCGATGTAAGGGAGACAGCTAGAGTTGTTCTTGTCTTTATTAACTGGAGGATGGTGGAGCTGCATGAGATGCTCCTTTGTGTCACATTATGGGACAGAGAAGGATTTGACAAGGATTTTTCAGATAGCATTTTATTTGGAGCCATAGCAGGAACTTGATGCCCCAGAATTGTAATTATGCAATTAACTCTCACATTGAGGCTGGAAGTGGTCAGGTTTAGTCAACTGTTAGTCCAGAGAAACTTATTTTTCTAGTTTCTTTTTTATTGTGGTAAAATTTATCATCTTAACCATTTTTAAAAAAAGATTTTATTTATTTATTTGACAGACAGAGATCACACTTAGGCAGAGGGGCAGGCAGGGGGCGGGGGGAAGCGTGGGATCATGACCTGAGCCGAAGGCAGAGGCTTTAACCCACTGAGCCACCCAGGCGCCCCTCCATCTTAACCATTTTTAAGTGTATGGTTCAGTGGTGTTAAATACTTTCATAATGTGCAGACATCACTACCGTCCATCTCCTTTACTATTTTCCATTTTTTTTTTTTTTAAAGATTTTATTTGACAGAGAGAGCAAGAGAGCACAAGCTGGGGGAACTGCAGAGGGAAAGGGAGAAGCAGGCTCCCTGCTGAGCAGGGAGTCTGATGCAGGGCTTGACCCCAGGACCCTGGGATCATGACCTGAACCAAAGGCAGGTGCTTAACTGGCTGAGCCACCCAGGCACCCAACAATCCACTACTTTTAATTCCTTTCTTACATCCTAATACAGCTACCTCTGAGATGCATTAATGTCAGTAGATAAGAGACAGTATTTACACTGGCAGGGAAGGCCTTTAATGGACACAAAGTACAGTGAAAATGTCACTGATGACACCTGGGGCTGGTAAGGGCTGATGGAGGTACCTTGCCTTAGAAAATGCCTTCTAATTAGAAAGTAAGGAAGAGAATGGGGTTTATTATTTGTGAAGCTCCCCTCCTCTGTCAAATAATTGTGTCAAATAAATGTCATTTAATAGCAGTTGTTGTCCAATGAGAAAGACAGTTTGACTCTTGTACTGATAAGAGAATTAAGGCTCAGGGAGTACGTGTTAGGACCAAAGAATGCACCCAGGTCTGTTTGATTCCAGAGCCCATATTCCTTCCCCAGCACTGCTTCATGCTACTTCTCTATATCAGGTTCTGACATCAGCATAAATGCTGAGCATGAGGATATCAACATAAATCCTATAGGGACTATAAAGAAAAGGGCAAGTAATGAAGTAGGCTGATATAGTAGGAAGCTTAAAAAAATCTTTAAAATGAAGGAAAATATTATTGGTGTATCTGGTAGCCTGGAGAGCTTGGGTACCCCAACCAGGGGGAGGCGGAAGATCCTA